TTGTCTTGCTGCTCTTGAAAATATTTTTAAATATGTTCCCTATATTTTCTCAAGTAAAACTTATGCCTCCTGGTATTTCAATTTTAAACCCGGGGCCACAATTTAAACAAACTGGAATCTGCATATTTGAGAATGTTTGCATGTTAATATGACTAATCATGATCGTGCTGTTCTTCATGAAAAAATTAAAATATTCCGGTGTAAAACTTTGTTCCCTAATATGAGCCAATCTACCTATTGGGGTCAAGATTTGAACAAAATACTGCACTTTTAGGATGCTTGCATATTTCTATTGCTTATCACGGCCTTGTTGTTCTTGAGAATATTATAAAAAGATTTTTTGCTATATGTTCCCATTTAAAACTTGAATCTGCCTTATCTGAGGATAATTGTATATCAAAATGACTTAGATTTTGATACATACATGTATTTAATATTTCCATGTAAAATGATTCCCCATTGTGTGTAGTGAACTAGCCTGAATTTAAACTGAAAGCTTTCAGGTAAAGTTTAAAGTTTTCTGGCCAATAGGTCTAGAGAAGGTTTTTAAATGATCCAAACCCGTTTTTTCCTTTTCCTGATTATGAAATAAAATGAAATGTGAAAGGTTTAACACACGGACAGACAGACGGTGGACAAAAGACAATCAGGAAAGCTTACTTAAACCTTTTGATTCAATTGAGCTAATCATATAATACCAATGATGAAATATACAATACAGATAAAGAAAAATATTATGCAATTGGATCAGAAGTTTGACATGCAATATAAAAAAGTTATTGGAAGAGATTCCAATAAATGGCATCCCTTGGTGTATATTCATATATATAGGCTTTTGCGGTTATGAACTATTTCATCATTTATAGGCACTATTTAACAAAAAATACACCATGATTTTATTTCAGAATAATGATACGGAACTCTATGAACCTTTCAGATGCTAGTTGGCGCAAATACACGTAAATTGAAAATTCAAGATTATTGATTGGAACATAGCTTTAAACTTTTGAAACCCAGTTAACCTTTCTCGCTGTTAGTATTAAAAGTACGAATCGAGAAAATGTTGGTCTACATAAATGAGGCAACATACGTCAATTAAATATTCAGGAATATCAGTATATTTGATTAAGATGAAATTGTAAATGTTTGAAATGTTTTTATACAGTAGAGTTTCTTGTTAATTGAACACATTTGAAGAGCAAAACAGTTATTATCTACTTTAAATATACCTGCTTAATGTATTTTATTAGACCTACTCACATTTATATATATGTATATATGTTCAAAACTGATATATTATATACCCAAGTCTGTATCACTCAATTTTACTTTAGATTTCGTACAATCACGTGACGGTGTGATCCGACTTTCCGGATCACCACACTGTGGTTTTCTGAATCCATATCACCCCTCTCTGAAACTGATGACGTAGTACACAGAAACATGACGTTATTTTTCATGCGCATCAAAAAGTTCCTTGAAAAATGCTTTGTTTAATGGAAAAATCTTATATAATTGATCTCAAAAGTTTTTTTAAAACTATATTTTGCTAGTTGTAAGGGAGGGTATATAATAAATTTATCGTTATAACAGTAACTTGATCCGAAGAGCCGTATCACGTCTCGTTGACAGGCGCGGATCATCAGATCAAACTCGACGCTTCGCGTCTCGTTTGATCTGATGATCCGCGCCTGTCAACTCGACGTGATACGACTCTTCGGATCAAGTTACTGTTATAATAATGTATATTTATTAAATAGTTATATTCTAATAGCTATTGATTGACTATTTTTATAATGTTACATAAAACTCACATTTTGATGCAATCTTAAGTTTTCTGATAACTATGCTAGTATGGTTGTTGTATAAGCTACTTTTGGCACATGTAGCTGCTATTTTTGGCTTGTGTGTTTTTTTGTTTGGTACGACGTCTTTTAAAATGCTAAATCATGAGTTGGTCGTTTTTCAAAATAAATAAATGTATTTTATTTAACTAAAAATTTACAAAAATTGGAATTCGTAAATTTTCATATCTTGTGATGAGGCATCTACAAAATTACTTTGTTAAGAATCATTCTGATTCTACTGGACTTCATCATTGGCAAACTGGTTGGGAAACATTAAAAACCAGGTGATATATTGCAAAAAATGACAACTATGTTCAAAATTCACACGGAAAGAGTAATGAATATTTACAATAAATTGTCCCCAGTAAGCGTGAACATGCATTCACATACGATACTCGTAATAAAGAAGATTATAATGTTCAAAGAATTCTTTAGAAATTCCTTCGTACCCGATGCTGTAAAACAATGGAATTTACTAAATATAGAGGTCAGGTAAGTCATCTCAATCAATTCATTCCGAAAAAAAAAAATTGGCAGCAAAAGTTAAAAATCTGCCATCATACTTTTCTTTTGGTAAGCGATATACCAATATACCAAAATCATTCATACTAAGCTAAGACATTATTGTATACTAAACTTGATTTATATATATTTACATTTCCAATGTCTTTGTCCGAGATAAAATTACAAATTGTAAAAACACTTTATTTCTACATAAATCTACTGGTTCATCGATAGGCGCGGTTAAAAAAAATCACGTGCGGGGCGGGACAAATAGAGGGAGAATCGGGGCTATTAGCACGGGAATTTGCAGAATCAGGAGCATGTAAATATAAGGAATAACTGTCAGATTTTTTGGATTCATGACGATGATCAATCGATTGGCTTGCGTGATAATTTTATGCATAAACGCCTTCGGCGTTTATGCAAATTATCACGCAAGCCACTCGATTGATCACATCATGAATCCAAAAAATAAGACAGTTATTCCTTAAATAAACGAAACATTATAAAAAGTCCTTCATGTTCGTGCTGAAAACGCGAAAATGTGTACCTTTTTTGCATGCAAAAATTATTCTAATGCTAGAAATAATCTTGTTCATGCTTGAATTGTCACTATTTATATAAACCTATTACTATGTGGTGATGATAATTTGCCTTTACAAATAAATAACAGTATTTTTGCTGCTATTCATAAATTTATTGACGAATCATGTAGATTTTCGTAGTTGATATGTTATATTTCATTTGTATCATTTGTATTATTTTTCTTTTATTTGCATGACATAGTGTATTATATATGGAGAGGAACTAGTAAGTTATTTAAGAACTCGTTTCCAATCCTTTTTATCTAATCAATAAAATGTGTTCAAAACAATTGAAAATATCTATCTAGTCATTGGAGACAAGGTCTTTCAAATCTGTTGGAATTTTGGTGGGCACTAATTGTGCTCCTTTATAAGCAGACCTGCCTATGAAGCAGAATTTATTCAAAAACTTCATGAGCAGAAGAAAACTTCTAACTACCTTCATCTCAACATTTAGATATATCGACGACGTTTTATCAATCAACAATAGTTAAGTTTTCATTCATATGTCGACTCAATATACCCCCAATGAACTCGAAATAAGAGACACTATAGAGTCTACCATATCTCTTTCATATTGGGTGTTTAACTGACAATGGACGATAATGGCCAACTATTAACTAAACTGTATGACAAACGGGATGACCAGTTTTTTTCACCTTCAACTTCCCTAATTTGCGTGTCCAACATCATCGTCGGAAACCCACGGTCGGTCTCGCTTCTCTTACCTCCCGTGGGACACAAGGCCGAAAATTTCGCTTGGAGGTGTGTCTCAATACCGCATTTTCATTGGTCGCAATACGATACGGTATTGCGATGTGTAACTATTAATTATCCAATAAAAATCATCGTTGCAACCCGTATGTCGGGAAGGATTTTGCGAACAATATGGAGACGTTCGAGGCGAAAGTGAAAGAAGTTTTTCAAATAAACGAGCTAAAAGACTTTCAAAGAGAGTCTTTGGCAGCGCTCTTGAAGAGAAGAGATGTTTTTCTGTCTATCAAAACCGGAGGTGGGAAAAGTATTTGCTACCAGGGCTTTCACACGGCATATAACGCTAGTTTTGACGACAACAATCCGATCTCAGTTTTGGTCGTCACACCTCTACTTTCCATTATGCATGAACAGTGCAATTCATTGAATAGTTTAGGATTTCTTTCAGCATTTATTGGTAAGCAGATTACTTTTATACTTTTTATCTACATAAACTATATATACAGTGTAGATGATGAAACTCTTTTTTGATAACATGTAAAAAATATGATCATCAAAGAAAAAAAAATTTCAGTCAATTAAAAGTAAATTTCCAAATTTCTCAGGGTTAGATGATGAACAAAAACTTTTTGGTTACTCAATATTAAAGACAAAGACACTCTTAATTTTGTGGGCAAATTCATAAATGATAAAATGTTGTAGTAGTCATACACTTTTATATATAGTATTCCTTTTAACTGAAATAGTACAATATTATTGTTGAAATGAGCAATATGTCATTTACAAATTGTTATACTATCCATTGACATAATTTTTTCCTTATTATTGTAATAATTTCATATTTGTCTGTTTCGGGCTCTAAATTAGAAAATAAATGTCCTGTTCTGTTCTATAATGTAATTGTATTGGCATGCATGGGCATTAGCCATGTCGATCTCGCTCACCTTTTCCCCTCTGCTATGTTATGTGATGATTCAGAACCTCTCTAACGTTCATGTTTCTGTATCTGTGTGTGTTGTAGCACTCAATACTGGTTTTTATTCGACAGGAAACATGTAAACGTTGATTTTTTTTTCTGACATTTTTATTTATTAAAAATTATATCAAAACATACATTTTCCCAGGTACATGTATTAGTATATTGTTAATTTAACTATTCCTTCGTGATATAGGTGGTGAAAACGACAATTCCATTTTAAGAAATGAAATGCAATTCATTTTCACCTCACCTGAAAGTGTGCTAAATGGAAAGTGGAGAGATTGGGTGACAAACAATTCAACCATTAGATTAATAGCTGTAGATGAAGCCCACACAGTGTTACATTGGTAAGTTTATTTATGAAGGGGAAAAATGATGCATTGTTACAAACCATCAAAATTTGAGCAATTCAAACAGGGTTTAAATTATTCCCCTTATTTTTTAGGGGAGAGTCTGCGAGCGAGGAAGATCCTTTCAGACGTTGGTATGGTCGACTAGGGGAACTGCGAAGCCTTGTGGAATGTCCTGTAATTTTGATGACTGCCACAGCAAATTCAGCTGCCAGAAAAGCCTTACAGAGAAAATTTTGTATGACAGACTGTTTAGAAATTATAGAGAACCCAGACAGGAACAATATTAAATTATTTTTACAGTGTGTTAAATACAACACTCCACTAGAGAATACATTCTTCTTTCTAATTCTGATGTTGAAAGAGAAAAAAGAGCTCTGTGATAGGTATCTGATTTTTTGCCCTTCTATCAGAACTTGTAGTAAATTGTACACTATGTTTAGAATTATGTTTAAAGAAAATGTTAAATTGATTGACCATATTGAAATGTATCATTCAAAAACCACAGATGATGTTAAACAATTAGTTAAAGAGGATATGTCTAAAGAAAATGGCAAAATTAGAATTCTTATTGCTACCAGTGCAGCTGGTATGGGTGTAAATTTTAAAGGAGTGAAATATACAATTAACTATGGTTGCCCCCGAGATATGGATACTTTTGTTCAGCAGTATGGCAGAGCAGGTAGAGACGGTGGCTCAGCAATGTCTTTATTGATTTACACAAAACATGATATTAAATGTATAGATGATGACATGAAATTATATGTTAAAAATGAAACCATTTGTCGCCGTGAGAATATATTGTCTTCCTATAAGAGTAAACCTGCTATGGATAGGGACATGCATATGTGTTGTGATATTTGTGATAAGAAGTGTCATGTGAAAGATTGTGAAAAATGTAGTTTAGCACAACATCCTTATTATAAAACTCAATTTCCAGCTTTTTCGTCAGATTCAAGTAGCCAGGATGATCATGACTTGTTTACAGATTCAGATTGGGAGTAAGCATTAAGATGTAATACATGTAATTCAAAGAATCCTTAAAAAATATGCACGCATACATTGCTGCATTTCATAAATCAGTCAGTATTGTATAATTTTGCCAATATATATTGTCAGCCTTTGGTGATAGACCTACTTTTTAAAAATATGTTAGGGTTCATTTAAATCTGTGATAAGATACATTTTCAGTGGGATACAGAAACTTGGGAAGAGACACCATTCCTCATTATAACTATGTACTTAGATCATCAGCATAATACCCAGGAGCAGAGAAGATTTTCAAAGAATTAATGCATTTTCACATTATAATCATTAGAACCCCGCCTTAAACCTGAACTCCTGATCCAGGGGCCTTGAAATTCAAAATTCTTGACGAAGCACCATTGCTCATCATAACTATGTAATTAGATCATTGGCATTGTACCCAGGAGCAGAGGAGAAGATTTTTTAAGAAATAATACATTTTCACTATATATACAACAGAGCCCCGCCTTAGCACCAGAACCCCTGACCCTGGGGCCATGAATTTCACAATTTTGAGAGAGTGCTCATTGCTTATTACAATCATGCCAACACTAATTTTAGTTGTTTTGGCCCAGGGGGGCAGGGACCATGAAATTCACAAATTTTGTTTCCCTTCACCCAAAATTGGTTGAAATTGGTTAAGCGGTTTCAGAGAAGAAGCTGAAAATGTGCAAATGTTAACACACGATGCACAACTGACGAAAGCAGATAGCAATACGTCACTCGAGTGACTCAGGTGACCTAAAAAAAAAGATTTATTGTCAAAATTCATTAGTATTATAAACAAATTTTTTTTGAGAGAGGAAGGATGAAGTTTAATTTAAACCCTTAATTGAAAGCCCTGAAACAAGTTTTTGCTTATACTTCAAATTTATGAATCAGTTTGTACTCCTTAAAAGCTTGTACATATTTTATTTGTTTTAGATATAAGGTCTATACATACATGTATATGTTCAACATGGTAAATTGTTATCAGTTTATAACATCTACACCATTACTTTTATAATGGTGTACTGATCAAGCTATACTACTGCCATTTTTACAATAAATGCTTGAACTTAAATCTGATTTTGTTTTTTAAAAAATAAAACACAATGAGTTACTATGTCACAACAAAACTGACAGAGTTAGATAAACAGATGGACATTGTAATTCCCATTTCATGCTTGGCCCTAATAAGTTTACATGTACAAGTCAGCAATGTTCTTTTGTTCATTTATCCATTCATGTAATTTAAGAATGTCAATTTGGTGAATTGGATCTTTAAATTTGGAGAAACTCTCCCAGCAAAGATCTGACACTGGTCCTTTGCTTCTCAAAGATTTAACCATAGTAATGATATCAACTGTTTTATCAACATCCGGCCTGTGTCTCGACGACTTCACTATTTTGGTAGTCCTCAAAAGCTGATCTTTAATGCTGTCAATGACTTGTGTAGTCATGCAAATTGTTTTTGCTGATTGAAAGGATTTATTTGCTCCTTGTGTGTTGAGTTCTCTCTTGATGTTGCGCACTTGCAGTTCTACACAGTTGTCATTAGGGATATTGTTGTAAATGCCGCCCTTCAGATTTACAGTCATATTCCACATATACTCAAATGCCTGGTCAGGTGGAAGAATAGAATTAACATATGTGAGCATTCTCCACAACCAGAGCTTATATTTTGAGTGACTTAAAGCAGAGGCATACAACCACTCAAACTTGGCATTACGCATGATGCGGTCCCCGTCACCCATTTTGTATGCATCACAGGTATCACGGTAGAGAAGGGACATCCTTAGAAAGGATGTAAGTGGTTGATCAGGATCTGATAACTCTGTAATTTCATGAAAGATCCAGTTGTGCTTTTTCAGTAGATGTTTCTTTAGCCAAGACTTCCTAATATATGTTTTCCCACACATTGCACAAGAGAAAGAAAGGTCTTGTTTCATGGCATCTATCTGTACATCATCAGTACTTAGATCTACCAAGTGTGATCTAAAATATCAAAATAAATGATTTTTTAGTACTAATAATTTTAGATTCATAAGTATGAAAAATGAAGACTTGTGGCAAAAATATTCAAGACTGGTGAAAACTTGACTCTATTTGATCATGATCTTTTTGCTTGGGTGAGCTTACAATTGCATCTATCCAAGGAATAGCATTCATAAAAATACAATATTTGGTTCATACAAGAAAAGGGTTTTTAACCTTATGTCTAAGAAACTTTTCCAGGAATTTAGGCCAAGTGCATTAAGAACATCTGTGGCAACATTGGTAATCCATTCCATTTTGTTGTCATTGTTCATTAATGAAAAAACAGGAGCATGTGAGGGTTGTGATGTAACTTCCTCCATGTCCATGATGTCCAAAAATGTTGACACAATGTAGGAATCTGTCACATCCTGGATGAATTGATGATGGGATCTAAAAGAAAATATAACAAGGCACACATTATTAACATTCTTTTTTATCTGTTGATATTTTCAAATTCATATTGCAAAATACTTGACTTGGATAGTTCAACTTACCTGAAGTTATTTGTTACTTCCTTAGGCCCAGTCACTGACCGACGGTTGATAGCATTCCTCAGTTTGTATAGGGAACCCTGGTCTGATGCACTGCTCTCAGTGTAAAATAGTTGAAATATTCCCTGAAAAAATATTATTGTGAAAACTGAAGAAATGAAATAGATTTAGACTTAAGACATCTTTTAAGGGTATAAAATTAAAACTTAATCGAAAAATTCAGAATTGTCTGAAATCTACATAGTTATGCAGATTATGTAATTACATGTAATTTATCAATAAATTTGCTACTTGCACCATGTACAAAAGGATTAATTTGTTAGTAAAAACTAAAACTATAAAGCAATAAAATCAAGTCATGCTAAACATAGAAATCATTGGAATGGCCTATGATGGGCTACAACTCCCAGTTTCTGAAACATATGTATACTATCTACATGTACATGATGTACTAAGATAAATTAAGGAATTGATAATATATACCAATATTTGGAGGGCAACAAGTGATAAATGAATAATACTAATGAAATTCATGCTGAAAAAATGGAAAATGCAGTTTATGACCTAGTAAAACTTCAAAGCCAAATTGATAATCTGGATGCAAAGAACATGAGCAAGTCTGCAGAGTTTCACAATATTTCCACCTATTTGTCATTGCAAAGTTCAAGATGAAAATATGTATGGCACTTCATGTATAAGTAAAATTATGAGTACTATATTATCTCTGCAAAATACTTACTCTAATTCATAAAAGCCAAAAACAACTGGAACTAAAACATTCCTGAACAGGGTGTGTTACCAATAAGAAGTTCATCTCCCTGTGAAAACCTTCTGGCCTGTGAACAAGCCCCCCAAGCATATCATAGTCTGATTTTGCATTTTGCATGGCTTCTTGAGCTGTAAATGCTCGCTCATTGGTGAGAACATCTCCACCAAAAACAACCCTGTCCGTTATTTTCTGATCTTTTTCAACAGCTTGGAAAACCAGTTTATTCACATTTTGCAAAATTGTTATCATTCCCTCTGATGAATTTTCACTAGCCTCTACTAAGTCACAATTCAGAATGACTGATTTCTTTCGAGTTTTGTCCATAAAGTCATGGGTTATGCAACCTGGCACACACTTTTGTAAGGGTTTCAGAAATTCGACAAAGGTAATAAGGACTTTAATAATATGAAATTTCATATTTTCAATCAATGTGTGCAGGTCACCTGAAGATGGTAACCATGCACTTGTTGGCAACTTCAAAATATCCCTGCTTTCTTCATTCTCTTCTGTTGATCTAGGGTGTTTATCATCTGACATGATCCTCTTCTCTTTCACCATTGTCAGAAACCAATGCAAGCTCTTTCTCTGAGACATCATTGTCATCTTAGCAGGAGTAATTGTGACATCTAAATTGTCCCCTATGATTTCTATGCCATGTTTAACATCTAAGAGTCCTGGATTTTCAGGTGAAGGGTAATAAGAATGTAAATACCTTGTCATTGTGGCCGACACCTTCTTCTCCTGCTCTTTGATCAGCTGTTTCTTTTCTTTGATGACAGTGCTGCTCGCCACAGAAATTCCAAGATCATGAAGAATTTTCAAACCCTAAAACCAATGAACAGTATCATTTTTGATTCACACCTTTTTTCAATAGATATTCGACTACATCAAATGTGACTTCTTTTTTTTTAAATTTCAATCAATTTTAATAATTTTTAAAACTAATTTTAAATACCTCTTTTGACACTCCACACTTGTCTAGTGTTAGACCAAGGATGTACTGTAACTGATTTACTGATCTTGATCTGCCATAAAGAAGTACACCTATTGACATTATTAGCACTGGAAGGTTCTGCTTCTTTTTTACATCTATCAAACTGCTCATAATGGTAAACAGATAAGGAATCCCTTCCTTGAGTTTTGATTCCACAAAAGACCAGTCAAGATTCATCATACTTTCACTCTTTTTGCATTTTAATAGGTCACTTTTTTTGCTAACTACACAGTCAATTTCTTTTTTCAGCTTCTTTACACACAACTGAAATAACGCATCCATATAGCTGGTATCTTTGCAAAAATTCTTCAGTACAGCATGAGGTGATCTTCTGTTAAACAGTGATTTTAAGGCTGCTTTAGAATTTTGATCTTTTACTACTCTACTTACATCAGCTCCAGCAATCTTGGTGACAATCTATAATGGAACACTGAAAAGTTTATGTATTTTGTGTATAAGTACATATTCTATGAAACAAAAGCATCATCAAAGATGACATGAAATGATGTATAGTTCACATACACATGTAACAGTTAGAACTCTTGCAATAATGTAGATTCTTATATCTTCAATATTAGCAACATAAAGATTGAAAGTGTCAAAGTGAGTAGTTTAATTTCATTTGCCATTCTTTTAATCAAGAAAATATGGGATAGTCATTTATGAATTTACAGTAGTGACCAGATGTTGGACAGTAAAAGACAAAGGCTGCATGACCTTAGCCCATTGACAAATTTATCAAAAATTACCTTTACATCAAAATTTTCTGACACATGTGTTTGTGTTGATTTATCCTCCTTGCATGGTAACTTTGACTGGAGACTATGATTTGGGTTCTGATGCAGAAGTAGTTTGTCAGGTGTTTTAAAGAGAGCTTTTTTACTTTTTCCTTTTGGTGTTGGTGTCTTATCTAGGGACCTCTTCACTGCACTCACCCTGGGTGTACTGGGCTTAACATGCCCACTTGTCTGTTGATGTTGTCTTAGAACATCTTGAAACAAATTATAAATCCCTGTGTAAATTTATGTATGCAATGCTTTTATAAATAAGGCAACAATTTCTAGATTAAATTTTAAAATAGCTGGCAGGACTTTTTTATTTAATAATAGTTATTAGTAAATAGAATATTCAATACACAGAACTGATATCAACAATCAACTTTCAAGCCCTCATTCTTTGATAAATATTTATACTGTTATAGACACCTCTTCATGAGAAGTAGGTCAAAAAGTTTCCACATTTGTCTAAATCCAAATATCACATACCTAACAACTTTTCCCTCTCAGTTTTCAACTGTTCCACCTTTGCTCGCACATTTTCCTCGATCTTGGATATTCTATTTAGTTTATTGGTGCATAGATTACACGCATATGAATTGCTGGTCGGGAAAAAATTTAACCTTGTAAATGCATAATTATACTGTTCAGTTGATGTTTTAGAGCTTAATGCTCTATATCCCCTGTCCTTTATAACATATAAGCAAAAAGAGCATTCTTTTACGTGTCCCGAGGCTGCCATAGTTTACAAAACACTTTCAAACAGCAACACGACATTATTCTCATGGGCGCCGCCATTACTGTATGCCTAATTTGATAACGTCAATTTTCATTGGCCCTCGAAAGGTCACATTAGGTTACGCATATCAATGAGTCTAGCGAAATTTTCGGCCTTGTGTCCCACGGGAGGTAAGAGAAGCGAGACCGACCGTGGGTTTCCGACGATGGTCCAACATTACCTGTATATGTTGTTCATGTCTCCAAGCTGATTTGATACACAAGAGCATACTATGAACACGATCAATTTTCAAACCGAGGTAAACTAATGATAAATAAGTTGATGTTACAAGAATTTCAACAGTGAAATCATTATTGTTTGTGTGGATCAATGTTCTTGGGTAATCAAAAATTTGACTGGTTCCATGGGACGTTATTTCGTGGGTAACGTGTATATTTTAATTAAGATAAATCAAAGTTTTGTGTTAAATATATGTACGTTTCAATGTTTGTGGGGCCGTTAATTCGTGGGTAAGGGCTACACACGAAATCCACGAATATTGATCCCCCACGGACAATGATGATCCACAGTACCCTAATGTCAGCTTTTCGCAAATTCTACAGTCGTTATAATGATCTTGTTTGTAAATACAACCTATCGTTGGGTTGTATTATGTCTGACATACTTCATACTATTTGTTAGGTCATTGCTTTCAGGACATGCTTCATATTATTTGTTAGGCCATTGCTTTCAGGACATGCTTCATACCATTTGTTAGGTTATCGCTTTCAGGACATGTTTTGTACCATTTGTTAGGTAATTGCTTTTATGCTTAATTTGACTATGGAGTACGCAGTTTACCTGATCAATACATTACATTGGGCTTACGGTGGGTGTGACCGATCAACATAGGATGCTTACTCCTCCCAACACTGGTGTTTCCAGAGGTCCGCGTTTTATACCTTGTTCACGATTCGTTTTTGTTTACTGGATTCATGAGATTGATCCCTGTTCGTTATATTAACCTTTTACTACTTAAATAAAGAAGTATAATCTATAAAATCTGTGTTCATATATCAAGCAAGCGTGAATTTTTTCGTATTTTGACGTTTATAGTTACATATACTAACGGTCTCATAGACATTATCTTATTAGCTCCTGCCTTTACACAGGTAAATAGTCGCTAGTGTAGATGTTTACAGAAACCAGCTGTAGCACCTACAAAATGACTTTGTTAGAAATTGGCAAAGTCGAGAATTGTCTATTAAAACACATTGTTTGCCTCTTTAGTAATAAATTGCGTTTAATTAAAGTTCGATTTATCCAGTAACCTTCAAATTAGTCTTCTAGTACTTTATATATCATTGGAACATGAATAAATGACAAACACGATGTAAATAGCCATTTATATAGAATGTTTCGATATGGAGCACCTTTTGGGCATGGATGCAATTGACTTCCTAAACTATTTAGTCAATTTGCTTTATGAAAATTGATTTTTATTTGTTATTTCACAAAATAAAGCTTAAATCAGACAATTACCAGGTGCCAATAATAGCGAGTGTCTGAAACCAATATTTTCTCGATTCGCACTTTACCAGTAGTGTTTCTTGAGACAAAGATTTGAAAATGCAAAGATTATACTGTATATAGACTTTATTATCCCTGGATGTTCTACATATAACTGTGGCATAAAAAAGTCATGAAAAATAGCCAAGTTTGACACCAAGTTCGTATGGCTAATAAGTTTGTCTAAGTATTATCCAATTCCGAATTTAAATTTAATCAAAGACAAACATGTTGAAATCCGGCTTTGTAGGATGATTTGCATTAACTGCATTATCAGATTAAACAGGTAGTTTTGGTAAAGTTTGATTAAACTTTTCAAGGTTGGGAGTTTTTTAGGCGATAATTTTATACCCGATTAGAGTGTTCGGTGCCATTGGAGCTGTTAGCAAAGCATCAGATCCAAGTAATGATAAAGAGATCAAGATTAATAAAGATTTGTAGTTAATGCATAGGCAGATATTGTGAAAAAGAAATAATACACTATTGCCTTGTGATACATTTATCTTTCAAATGGTCAACAGAAAAATATTTAAGCATTGCATTGTAAATTTTAGACGGTTGTGCTGACAAATTGAATAACACGTGTTAGCGCGTTATGCACAGCAGTCCGTGTTATGACACATTGAACGTCCAAAATTTACAATTCAGTGCTTATATTTACAATTTTAGATTTCACTTTATTTGATAAAATATCGTTGTTTTTTTTTTTTTTTTTTTTTTTTGTTTATTTTATCCGTTTAAATGATACACACCGCACATGTACAATAAAAAAGAGCAGTTGTTACTGTTCAATGTGAGCGTCAACGTTTATGGCGTTGCGCTTACATGGCGTTCAACGTATATGACGTCAAAATAAAAATTATAAATCAACCTTTTGAACTCCCTCTCCGTGAACAAGTTCTACGTAACTACGATATTTAGGATGCCAAAACTTTTCACACAATTTATAAGGAATATACATGTACATGAGGAATGTGAATCGATGTGTTACCTTAGCAACTTGTTAACTTACAGTTATTGTCCTTATAATATTCTAATCTTTTTTCTTAGATTACTTAAACTTAAAACAAATTTTCCGGTGCCAAACTAACATGAAAACATCAGGGCATTTTTTTTAATTTGTGTGTGTGTGTGTAAATTTTGTAGATATATTTATGCAATTAATTCACCAAATAGTGGCATTTCACTTTAGTCATTTACTGGTGTGAACAATTGCATTAAGTACAGCAAGTAAATAAATGAACTGGAATGAACCAAGTAGATTAACTCCGAAGAATAAATGCTGAGGAACGTGTTTATTTTAATTCCTTAAGTTTTATTATTCGATAAACAGTCGTCTTTATACATAGCGGCTATTATTTTAACAATCGTATAGGCTTCTAAACTTTAAATCTACACAAATCAGTGTTGTGTATTTTAAATGCTAGTTGTGTATACTGTATAGAGATAAGCCAATGATTTGGTAAGAATGCATCCAGTAGCCGTGATCCGATCCATTTAAATGGAGTTATTCTTATAAAATGCGCATCCGTGCCAAATGTAACTAAATCATGATCGAACATTGAAACTTCCAGATAATACACGCGGCCAAAGAGCACGTCTGACCAAACTAGAAACGCTTGGAAACCACCCTATCAGTATTTGACTCGGATTCAAAAACTTTAAATTTAAGACAAAATCAACGCTTGCGTAGTGCTATCTTTCTTCAAGTTTGACAGGACGAAGAAATAAAATCAATGCGGGTTCCAAGCTGAGCTCCTGGAGGGGTTTCTAAATTCGGCAACTTTTCGTCAGTTGCTGGCTGGACGCAGTCGGAAGTGAAGGGAATGTAATTCGGAGCTTAGAAATTAGAGGAACTATGTGATTTCCAAAGATTCCTAATAATTTCTGGAATTGTACTTGTGTTTAAAGTCGGTGTCAGGAAATCATGAGTGGTATAACTCTACCTCCTATCCCGGGGGCTATCCCCCTTCACACTCGGTCCCTCCCTAGCGGATTTGAGACCACTCGTTCTCGCCCCTCCAGTAGTGGGAGTCAATGTAGTTCTTATTCTATAGTCCCACACGTTTACTATGGTAAGTTCCTTGACGTACGCAAGTTTATATTAACCCAGGTTTGCAGGTTCCTCTTACATGTACTAACTAAAGAAAAATACTAATTTTACAATATTTTGACCATTGATATCTTACTTTATACTTTTGTTTAATTTTTTAAAGCTAAAGGGATTTTTTTTTTACCTCATTTTCCAGTGTTATTCTCTACATCTTTCAAATCAAATGTTAAAATGATGTATTCGAAAAATACATTTGTCACAAATTTAATCCATTTTCTAAAAGAAAGTGGCATCTCCATGCAACAATCAAATAATGTATTTAGGGATGTAGAAAATACATTTTTGTTACGTATTTTAATATTTTGACTTTTTAGTTGTCATTATTGCTATATATCATAGTATTATATGTCATTATGGTGTGCTGTTTCTCAGGGGTTTTGTTGGCATAGTGAGTCAAATAATCTGAAATGTTAGGTCATACTTTAAAATCGAACCATTCGGAGCAATCTCTCATGTTACGGATTTTAATATTCATGAAAAAATAAGTAGTTTCTAAAATTGCACCCATTTGGTCCTTTTTTTTTTACTTTGGTTTTAATCAATTTATTTGTAATATAAGAAATACAGTTCTTGTCTTTCATCATTCACAGTATGATTTGTGAAAGGCAGAATTCTTTAAAGCAGGAGATGAAAGAAGAAGATAGAAACGAAGATATGAAAATATCTTAAAATTAAAAATTTGTCAATACATTAGTGTTTCTTAAATTTAGAGTGACTGCCTGAGTCTGGAAATAAGAAAGAGTTGTTAAAGGTTAAATGAATTAAACATTCAATAATCTTGCCAAATTCTGGTCTTATTTAATGTATAACATTCAAGTAAAGGGATTGATTCACTCTGAACTCAGTTCACAATCACCCACCCCCAGCGTTTTATGAAAACGAATTAATACTTGCTGTGATTAAACGGGAAAAATAAGAAGCTGCTTTTTATTTCTAAATCCAGATGTACAAAAATGATTAAATTATGAATTCTTTTTTTTTTAATTGCTCTCTATTGTCGAGAAACCAAACTTACTGTGGAAATCTGACAAAAGATGTATTCCAAGGAAGGTAAAAAAGTGCAAGCATGATTATGAATGTCAACTAAGAATATTTTTACAATCTTGATTCTCCAATTGGTTTTTTTTTTTTTTGGTATAAAAAATCGTTTTGGATGTATATCTATCGGCAGACAATTTGTCATTGTTTATCCTAATATGACAGAAAATTCTAAAGTCTCGTGGCAAATCAGATCCGTCAGACCCAAGACAACAGCAGGTATCCCAGTAAATGTCGCACAGAGTAGCGGTTCCTATTGATTTGAAGATTATGTCTATTTCTATAAATTCTCATTAAACTCCGAGGCTTTACCTCTGAGCTATGAGATGGCAGTGAATGGTTGTATTGTTGGAGACATCAGATTCGTGTTCTGTCCCCAAAGTTTTCCCCGATACTGCAGGAAAGAGGAATAGGGATTAGAAATAAAACATCAATACCTCACACTTAAAATTACAATTCCTTAACAACTGTGAACGGGCAAAGTTATTATGCGGTATA